TCTTTGATATGTGGAAAGCCAATTTTTCCAGCACCATTTATCAAAGAGGCTATCTTTCTTCTAGTGAACATGTTTAGCCCTTTTGTCAAATATCAGGTGGCTGAGTGTCTCTGTAGTTGTGCTTGCATCTTCTAATCTGTTCCATTCATCCTCATGTCTATTTCTTTGCCAGTACCATGCTAATTTTATCACTGTGGCTTTGTAGTATAGTTTCAAGTCAGGAATTGAGATGCCTCCTGCCTTGCCTTTGTTGCCCAGAATCGCCTTTGCTATTCTACATTTCTTCTGTTTCCAAATGAATTTTAGGGGTGTTTTCTCTAGATCTGTGAGGTATGTTAATGGTATTTTGATTGAGACTGCATTAAATCTGTGTAACAGTTTTGGGAGTATGGCCATTTTTATAATGTTGGTTCTTTCTAGCTAAGAACAAGGAATATCCTTCCATTTTCTAATATCCTCTTCAATCTCCTTTTTTAGGATAGCACAATTTTCAGCATATAGGTGTTTTACATTCTTAGTTATGTTGATTCCTAAGTATTTCATTTTTTTAGATGCTATTGTGAAGGGTGATATTTCCTCTTGGTGAGGATTTCTCTCTCGGTGAGTTTTTTGTTTGTGTACAGGAATGCTATTGAGTTTTGAGCTCTGACTTTGTATCCAGCCACACTGCTGAATTTGTTTATTATCTCTAGTACTCTTTTAATGGAGTTTTTTGGTCTTCTATTTAGGGTATCATGTCATCTGCAAATAGTGATAATTTAACTTCTTCCTTTCCTATTTTTATTCCTTTTATTTCTCTCTCTTGTCTGATTGCTGTGGCTAGTGTTTCCAGAACTGTATTGAATAGGAGTAGTGATAGTGGACATCCTTGTCTTGTTCTTGACTTTAAAGTGAAAGCTTTCAGTTTTTGTTCATTTAATATAATGTTGGCTATTGGTTGTCATAGATGGCCTTTATAAGATTGAAGTAGACACCATGTATTCCAAGTTTCTGAAGGGTTTTTATCATGAACATGTGTCGGACTTTATTGAAAGTTTTTCTGCATCTTATTGAGATGACCACGTGGTTTTTGTTTTTGGCTCTGATGATGTGGTGTATTACATTTCTTGATTTGTGTATGTTAAACCAGCCCTGCATTCCTGCAATGAATCCCAGTTGGTCATGATGTATAATCTTCTTGATGATTTGTTGCATTTTATTTGCCAGTATTTTATTGAGAATCTTTGCATCAACGTTCATTAGTGAGATTGGCCTATAGTTCTCCTTTTTGGTTGGGTCTTTCTCTGGTTTTTGGTATGAGAGTGATATTTGCCTCCAGAAATGATTGCTTCCTTTTCAATTTTATTGAACAGTTTAAGGAGTATTGGTATCAAATCTTCTCTAACTTTCTTGTAGAATTGAGTCTGAATCCATCAGGACCTGGGTTTTTCCTTGTTGGTAAGTTTTTAATTACATTTTCAATTTCAATAGCTAATACTGGGTTATTTAAAATTGCTATATCTTCTTGGTTGAGCTTTGGTAGTTCATATGTTTCTAGAAATCTGTCCATTTCCTCTGTGTTTTCCACTCTATGTGAGTAGAGATTTTCAAAGCAGGTATTCATGATCTGAATTTCTGTGGGATCTGTAGTAATTTCCCCCTTTTTAGTCCTTATTGCATGAATTTGGGTTTGTTCTTTCTTTTTCTTTATGAGGTTAGGTAGAGGTTTATCAATTTTGTTTATTCTCTCAAAAAACCATCTTTTTGATTCATTAAATCTTTGTATTTTTTAGTTTCAATTGCATTGATTGCTGCTCTAATCTTTACAATTTCCTCTCTTCTATGAGCTTTGGGTTTAATTTGTTCTTCTTTTTCTGAAAGCTTGAGATGAAGCACTAGGTTGTTTATTTGTGCTCATTCTGTTTTCTTGATATGACAATTTATTGCTATACATTTCCCTCTTAAGACCACTTTCATTGCATTCCACAGATTATAGTATGCTGTTTCTGCATTTTCATTGAATTGTAGGTATTACTTTATTTCTTCTTTAATTCCATCTGTAGCCCATTGGTTGTTCAAAAGATGTTATTTAATTTCCATGTATTTATGCAGGTTTTGCAATTTTTTGCCACTGATTTCCAATTTCAGTGGGCTGTGGTCAGATAGTATGCATGGGATAATTTCAATACCCTTGAAGTTACTTAAGAGTGTTTTATGGGAAAATATATGGTCTATTTTGAAGAATGTCCCATGCACAGCTGAGAAGAATGTGTATTCTGATGTGGCTGGGTGGGACACTCTGTAAACATCTACTAAGTCCTACTAAATCGCAGGTATAATTCAGTTTATTATTTTTTTGCTAACTTTTTGTCTAGTTTATCTATCTTTTTGTGACAATGAGCTGTTAAGGTCCCTTGTAATAATTGTGTTCTTGTGTATTTGTTTTGCATGTCCACTAGTATCTGTCTTATATAGTTGGGTGCTCCTGTATTTGGTGTATATATATTTATAATTGTTAGTTCTTCTGCTTGAATTTTTCCACTAATTTAGTGACTTTATCTCTTTTAATCATTTTAGGTTTGAAGTTCACATTGTCTGAAAATAGAATATTTACCCCTGCTTTTCTCTGGGTTCCTGTTGCATGGAATATTGTTTTCCATCCTTTGACTTTTAATCTATGAGTTTCCTTTTGGGTCAGATGTGTTTCTTGTATACAGCATATTCTGGGATCTTGTTTCTTGATTCATTATGTCAACTTATCTTTTTTGATAGGTGAATTGAGGCCATTTACATTTATGGATATCAGTGATATGTACTGGCTCAACTTTGCCACGTTATGCTCCAATTGTTTGCTTTCTGCTTTTCCTCTTTGTTTAATTGCTTGTCCTACCTGGTGGTTTCTTTCTATTGTTATTCTGGGGATTGTGGTTATTTTTATCTCTGTCTAGTATGTCTTTCAATATTCTTTCTAGGGTTGGCTTGGTGGACATGAATTTCTTCAGTTGCTCTTTGTCATGAAAGTATCTTGTTTTTCCATTACATTTGAATGAAAGTTTTTCTGGGTACATCAGTCTGGGTTGAAAGTTGTTTTCTTTTAGGGCTTAAAATACTTCACTCCAAACTCATCTTGACTTGAGAGTTTGTGCTGAAAAGTCTGCTGTGATTGTAATGGGCTTTCCTTGATAGGTGAATTGTGTCTTTTCTCTAACAGCTTTTAGTATTCTGTTTTTATGCTGTATGTCTGAGACCTTAATTATTACATGTTATAAATTTATGTTAGTTGTGACTGTTGGGCATTCTATATGCCTCACCTATGTGCATATCAAACTTTTTCCCCATGTTTGGGAAATTTTCTTCTATTACTTCTGTGAATATTTTGGTTATGTCATTTGCATTGATTCCTGCCTCTTCACTGATGCCTATTAATCTTACATTTTTTCTCTTGGCATCATCTTGAAGCTGCTGGATTGTCACTTCAGGCTGTTTTGTTAAATTTAAAAGTTCTGTCCTTTTATGATCACTAATTGTGATCCTGTCCTCAAGGTCTGAAATCCTATTCTCAGCTTCATTTAAATGGTTTTGCCAGCTTTGAATAGATTTTTTTGTTTGTTTCTTGGATGTCTCTTTGAATTTGTTTCATGAATTCTGCTTGTTTTCTATATTGTTCATTCAAGGTTTCAATCAGTTTCCCATGCTCCTGTACTTTTTTCTCTGTTTCTTCTTTAGCTGTGCTCAGCAACTCCTTTACTAAGGTTGTTATTTCTATCTTTGCATGGGAGAGTACTTCTAATTTGGTTTCCTCTATAGCCTTATGGAGTTGTTTGTTTATTTCACTCGCTATCTTTTCAGATATTTTCTGTGTGTTACTTTTGAAGCCCTCTATTTCAATGTCTCCTGTACTTGCTCCTAGTCGCCTAAATGTTTGAGATTGCATTTTGCTTTTTCCTTTTACCATTTTCCCCTTTCAAATTAATATTTGGTCTTTCAATCCCACTCGTGTCAACTGTTGGTAGTGTGTATCTTGGGGTCCTAATGTAAGGTTGATGTTTGTCCAATTGCTGGGTCCCACAATGAAGAGGTGGGCCAGCCACCTGACTTCCTACTGCAGGGCCTGTTGGGTGAGTCCTATGTTCTTCCTGGGCTGACAAGCCTAATAGTATTGATGTAGGTCAATTTTTAGTTCCCGCTATTATTTTATCTTCAGGTTATTCCAGGTCACCAAATCTTCCTGTCTATAGTATTTGTGTTGGCTGAGGCCCTACTGTGTCCCTATTGTGTGCCCAGTGTCTCATAAGTCCTATTAATTTTCTCCAAGTTGGGGGAGTCCTTACTGGCACACTTCTCCCCTGCTTGATGTTTTCTGTGTGTGGGAAGGAGTAACCCACATTCTTGTCAGACTCATCAAGGTTAGTTGGTGGGAGCTTTACTACTGGCCCTATTTACCCATTGTGCACCTCTATTTTAGGGGCATACTCACTACACTGCCTGAAGCCTGTGAAGATCTTCTGTTTGGGTGTGGCAGTCACTAAATCTCCCCTCAAGTTAACACAGTTAATCTGCTGTAGTCCAAGGTTCTGGGAGAAAACGTGGGAGCCCTGGCTGGAGTTCCTTGGTCCTGCAAGGTGGTCAGTGGAGACTGTGGAAGGCACAGGAGGGATCGTGTCTAGGCCTGCCCAGGTATAACTCTGGCTGGAGTTCCAGGTGCCACAAAGTGGTCCCTGGGAAAGAGTAAGAAACATAGCCAGCCACTGAGAACCCCACCAATCACTGAAGTAACACTTGACTAAGCCCTGCAGAAGGCATCACTGCTCTGGGAAGACTTGCCTGATCTCCATCTTAAGTTACCAGGTAAGCCATTTGCTCTATCAGCCCCTGTTTACTTTTTATACCATCCATAAAAGGGAGGCAACTTTGCATTGATCCGGCCTGCAGATCAATCCGTGGGAAATTCCTGAAGGGGGAACGGGGATTAAATAAAAGACATAGGGGAGACAAAGAGAGATGAAAGCAAGTCGAAATAATTCGATCAAGCCTCTGTTTATTCAGGAAATGATCACATCTTTTATAGGCCAAGGGCGGGAGGTGGGACAGGAAGAGGTTAAGGGGATGAATACAACAGGGTCATCGTCACATCTGGGTATGTGACGTAAGCAGGAGAGGATTATGGTTAATGTAGGCAGACGCAGTGCCCATAGGAGAGAGGCAGGGAGGCAGCAATGGGCTGTCACTCGGCTCCCTACATCTCCTCCCTTTTTATTTTATTTAATCAAGAGTATGGCAGGCCCTGCCAGACAGCGTCTGTCTTAGGTCAAGGACCTCATTGCATGAACCCAACCAGGCCTTACCTGTCATGGGCTTGCAGAACAGCAGTTGGTCCTGTGCCTGTCTTAGGTGGCCGATGGAATTAACATGCATGTCCTAGTTGCCTGTCTCTGACTGCCTGTCCATTGCCCCAGGACAGTTAGGCTGCATCGTCATATGGGCCACTCGTGGGAATTCCTTCCCGGTAGGTTTGTTGATCTGCCATCTCCAGCTGATGATAGTGTACCTGAATGGGCTTTGCCATAAACGCGTCTGTCTGGTTATTAATGAGCATCATAATCCTCTGAAAAATACAAGGACTCACAGAAATGAGAAACAATAGGGCAGCTAGGGGACCCAAAACGGGCACTAGGTAAGGGAAAAACTCCCCCCCCCACACACACACACACATCGAGGAGAAGGGGTTGACAGCCATTTGTTGGTGTCTCTGTTGAAGTCGTTCTCCTATGTCTTGGAACATGCCTCACATAACACTGGATGCAGTCTATTTGGCTGGTGTATGTTCCTCCAGACTGAGAAAAGCCTCTTCCACAGTCACAGGGGTTCTGTGCATGGCTGTCAGCAGTTGTAGTCTGTTTGGCAGGGGTTGAAATCCACCATGGGTGTGGTATGGCTCAAGGAGAAGGCCGAGTAGACAGCATAAGGCTCCGGGGGATTGTGTCACCTGTAAGAGAACACAGGGGACTGTGCCTCAGGAAATGACGTTATTCCTAGGCATTGCATGGGGTCTTTGAAGAACTGTCTACTTGTTTTACGAGGCGTTCAGGTAGCCATCTAGCTTCTCTATCTTGTTGAGAGTAAACACACACTGAACCGCGTCCCCATATGAGAATGGGATCAGGGCCATGCCATGAATTAGTTAGGAGGTCTCTCTATAGTACAGAAGCAAATTGCTTTTGTGTTTTAGAATGCCAAAAACGCATGGCTGCTGACTGTCCAGCAGCATCCAAATTTAAAAAATTAAGGATGAATAAGGCATGAGATAGAATATTTTTAGGTACCATTCCCCCTTTTTTATTTTATCAACAGTGAGTTTTAGGGAAAGATGTGCCCTTTTAACTATGCCTTGACCTTGAGGGTTATAAGGTATGCCTTTTATATGATCAATATTAAGATGTTGACAAAAATGAGCAAAGGCAGAACTAGCATGTCCTGGACCATTATCAGTCTTTAATTGTTGTGGGCATCTCAGAACTGATAAGGTAGTTAATATATGGCTAATAATGTTTGGTAGTTTTGCCAGTCTGGGGAGAGGTATAAATGAAACCATTAAAGTTATTTATAGTTACATGAACATTTTTAAGATTGCCAAGCTCAGGAATGTGGATGACATCCATTTGCCATAATGCATTGGGGATAAGTCCTCTAGGATTAACCTCAAAGTGTGGAATTGGGAGGTGAATGGCACAAGAAAGGCAATTTTTACTATCTGTCTGGCTTGTTTTTTAGTGATCTTAATACAGAATTACAGAAAAACAAACAGTAAGAAATCAACAGTTAATAAGTTACATATTGTCATCTGAGAAATAGCCATTTAGGTTATAAAATCAAAGCACGCAAAGTGACATTTAAACAGTGACAATGCCAACAGTTCTGCTCAATGATCCAACAAAAACTTAGTAATATGGTTATCAGTCCTATACACTTGTTTTTTATCTCAAAGAGGGCAATACCAAGCATATCAAAACAGAACAAAACAGTTTTTTAAAAAAATATTTAAAGAAATCCACATTTCAAAGCAAGTCTACTGGAGATCTTTACTGTTTACTTAATTGTCACAAGTTTCCTCCAAACAGTTGTGTCCATCTTTAAGCACATTAAATACACACTGTGTGTTATAAAACTAATCAAATCATTACAGCATGATGAAGGCTTCTCAGGTTTTTAAGATCTGATGTTGGAGAAGACAATAATAACTACCATAGTATGTCTCATTTTTTCAGCAGCTGTCCCCATCCTTACATATGCTGAAATTAAACTTAAGAGACTAGACCAATATCACTCCGATCAGTTAAATGAGTCAAAGTAATTGACATTGGAATCTCCACCTCTGGAGTCTTTTCTGTAAAATATCCAGTCTCTCCACAGGCAAAACGGTCCTGTTCATGCTTTTGAGACAAGAACTGTCCAACTGCAAACCCCTGCAAGGCAGCAGTCACAGCAAAGGTGTATATATCCTGTGGGCCTGTTCTATTTTTACGAGGTCTGATAGCAGCCCAGCAGGCGGTGCTGGCGCCTTTAAAAAACCAGCTGTTCAACAAAATCAGTGCCTGCATCAGCGTGGCCAAAGGCTCTGCTAGCAGCAGCAATCAAACAATCAACAAACTCTGAAAAGGGTTTATCTGGGCCTTGCTTAATGGTAGTGAGAAAGGAGCTCATATTATCTTTGGTAGGCGCTTTCTCCATGCTCAGGTAGCTGCTGTTTGAATTTGAGTGAAAAGTGATAGATTAAACTGTTTTTGAGCCTTTCTACATGCATAGGCATCTTTTACTATTAACATATTAAGATCGAACCCATTGCCAGCTTGTGTATTGCGCTTGGCAGTCTCTTTGCAATTTTTGTATGTTCTGATTTTTACAAAAGATTATCGCCACCCGATAAAGTCATTCGGGCCAATCTTTGCCAATCTTTGCCAATCTGTAGTGTGAGCCAGCCATCAGCCAGAGAATTTAAACAGCAAGAATGAAAGCAGCTGTAGGGCCATATTGGGCAACCGCTGTCTTTAATTTTTTTAAAGCAGCCACTGTGAGTGGTGTATGAGTCCTATGACTCGTGGAGCTAGCGGCGCATCGCCCACGCCATCTTGTGGCTGTGCAGCGCCATCTTGGGGAGGTACCTTTGTTTCCATCACCGGAAATGCAATTTTGGGGAGGGACCCACGCTGATGTGGTGGAAGTGAGGCAAGCGCCATTTTAAGAGCGCCACGAGGCCTGCCGGAGACAGGCGCTATCTCAGGAGCACTATAAGGCTGAGCAGCTCGGAGCACCTTGTGCAACCATCTCTTCAATCTGAGGATCTGCATGCCTCTGGGCAAGCAGCTCAGAGATTAAATTCCAATATGCAAAGGTGGTCACAGGAACCTTTTCCGGACCAAAAACTCTATAATAATCTTTTAAAGCATCTCTTACTCTATTCCACCTCTTGGTATCTATAGAACCCTCTAGGGGGAACCAAGGGCAAACCTTATGAATAAATTGAAAATACTGCAATAATTCTTTTGTTCTAACCCTTACCCCTCTTGTCTTGAATGCCTTTATAAGGCCTCCCATGAACACTTCATGTTCATTCAATGCTTGACCCATGTCCAGGAAAGGAAATGGGGTCGCCGTTCACTCACCATGACTCGGGCAGGACGTTGGGTAGTTGTCTGCACAGGCCTCAGTACTTGATTTAATGTCCTGTTGCTTTAAGCTTTAATCCTTGATTCAGTTTGCTCACTCCTCGGCAGAGGTCTCTGGTTCAATTTGCTTTCACTTTCAGTTTAAGCCGGCTGTCTGTTGAAGGCTCCCTTGTTAACTCCTCTGTGCCAGGAGCCCCCACGCTGAGCGCCACTTGATCTGGCCCGCAGATCAATCCATGGGAAATTCCTGAAGGGGGAACGGGGATTAAATAAAAGACATAGGGGAGACAAAGAGAGATGAAAGCAAGTTGAAATAATCCAATCAAGCCTCCGTTTATTCAGGAAATGATCATATCTTTTATAGGCCAAGGGCGGGAGGTGGGACAGGAAGAGGTTAAGGGGATGAATACAACAGGGTCATCGTCACATCTGGGTATGTGACGTAAGCAGGAGAGGATTATGGTTAATGTAGGCAGATGCAGTGCCCATAGGAGAGGGAGAGGCAGGGAGGCAGCAATGGGCTGTTGCTCGGCTCCCTACATTGCATTAGTTTATAGGATCAGCCTTAGGAGAATGATTAGAAGCCCACTGGTTTTCATTATATTATACTTTAAGACAGCATATTTTCCTGTCTACTGATTTTTAAAAGGGCCCTGCCAAATAGTCTGTGTGAGAATACATGAACAAATAAAAGGATGGCTTTTTGCTGTTTGGACTTGGTTTTTAAGGAACTTTATCTTCATTCACAAGAACAGATAAACAAACTCTGGCTTCTCCTCATTCCACAAAAATGTGTGATGTGCATGTACAGAATCAACAGTAAGAGAAGGATGGGAAGAATGACTCGGTTTTCAGCAGAAAAGATGCTTCTGTCAGTGAACAGAGGGCACTATATAGGCTTGGTAGGTGGTGTTGCTGCTGCAGTACTGGGGGACGTGAAGGGCCAAGTTTTATACCCACCAAAAGGAGCAATAGAATTGTTTGAAATGCTGTAGGGGAAAAGCAATTATGAACACAGTTAATTCCCAAGTGGCAAAGAAATTGTCTGGCAATGTGATGTTCTCTTCCCTCAAAAGTCTTCTGCTTTTACTCCAAAGTGGCTTTTGAAAATCTATATAACTCTGATTCATTGCTAAGTCTTATAATTACATCAATCAAAATGAATCCAAAAAAAGTTAGATGGAAAAAAGTTAGATGGAAGCCAGTCTTTTATCAACAGTCTTATCAAAGATAAATCCTTACCCTGCCATAGTTGTCCCCCTCTATGAGCTTACTGAGTATAATTTTTAAAAGACTGAGGTAGATTTATATGTTCAGATTCAGAAATTGAAGACACATTGTAAAGAAATATGTAGGGTATACTGTGACATTGCTTAAATAAGTAACAAAATACCAGGGGCTGGGGATTTAGCTCAGCAGCATAAGCACCTGCCTTGCAAGCAGGTAGTCGTGAGTTCGATCCCCGGTACCGATAAAAAGTTAAAAAAAGAAAAAAAAATACCCTTTAGAAAGTACTGTCTATATTTATCTCTGTCTATATCTGTATCTATATATGTAAGAAACAATCTGAAAAGATAGTGGAATTTCTACTTCTGCCAATTGTGAAATAAATTAGATAATTCACAGGGCTGGGGATATAGCTTAGTGGTAGAGCACTTGCCTAATGTGTAAGGCTTTAATTTCTGTAATAGCACTGCGACTAAATTTAAGATTTCTGAAGATGAGAATAACTTCAAAATGTGTACAAAATGTGAATATGTTTACTTAAAGGCATGACAGCTTAATTCTCGCACAGAAGGAGGAGGAAAAGGCAAAGAGGAGGAGGAGAAGAGAGAAGAAGAGGAAGAGAAAAAGGGAAGAGGAGGATGAGAAAGAAGAGGAGGAAGAAGAATTAGCATAGTGAATAATGACTGCACTAGAATGCAGGAAAAGGGAAGAGGCTGAGGAAGATGATCTTAGTGTTTAAGAGGAGCTGAGAATGAATGGTTCTTTTGATGGCCTTGTCAAGTTAAAGGTCCAGGAAAATGATAAGGTTCACCCAAGAACAGGTATTCTCTGACTAAATTTTCCTTGTTTTTTTGGAATCTTAATGTTCTCCATTAGTAATAAGAGTACACAAAATGCCCACCAAAATAAATACAGATCTTCTTGAGAGGAAAAATGCATCGTTCTGAGCAAGTTAATTTATAATTTACAAATATATAACAGGGTTTTACAATGAAGGCAAAACAGGCATACAGGGAAAAGATGAAATGTAGTAGAAACAACTGATTTTAAAAAAAGAGAGGGCTGGCTGTGGTGGCACATTCTTGTAACCCCAGCACTCAGGGAGCTGAAGGAGAATCAGCTTTGAGGCTAGCCTTGATGAAGATCAATTAACCTTACATTTTTGGGTTTATTTCTAGATTATCAGTTCTGTTTCTGCAGTTTCAGTTACCTGTGGTCAGTTTTAGCACAAAGGATTAAATAGGAAATTTCTTTTTGTTTTGTTTTGGTTTTTTGGGTTTTTTTTGGTCCCAGGGATTGAACTCATGACCCTGCGTTTGCCAACTAGGCACCTCTGCCACTGAGCTAAATCCCTGGCCCTAAATAGGAAATTTCAGAAATAATAATTCAAAAGTTTAAAGTTGCAGGCTGTTCTGCATGGTCTGATGAAATCTTGTGCTATTCTGTTTATCTTGCTCCAGGATCTGAGTCATCTGTTTGTCTAATGTATCCACGCTGTATATGTTACCCACCTACTTAGCAGTCTTGTTTATCAGATCAACTATCACAAGTGCTTATATTCAGTTACCCCTTATGTAGCAGCCCAACGCTGTCACAATGTCTATATCATTTACATCACTTCGTCTCATCAGGTAAGCATAATATTATTTTATGCCATCACAAGAAGAATGAATACAAGTTATTTTGTGAGAAACTACATTCACTTAACTTTATTATAGTATATTGTTATAATTTAAATTATTACTAATCTTAACCTGTGTCTAATATGTAAATTAAACATTGTAATTGGTGTGTATAGAGAAAAAAATCATACTATCTATGGGTGTGATACTATCCATGGTTTCAGGTATCCATTGGAAATCTTGGAATGCATTCACAGCTGACTAGAGAAGACTACTGTAGCTTTATATTATATGATGCAAAAACTGACAAAGGATATAAATGAAATTTACAAATTTAGTGTAAGTTTTATAAAATATTTTTCTCAGAAATCAATATATTCATTAAGCAAAAAAGTAAGGATCTCAAACTGGAGTAACCAAATGAACAGGCTTGACCTAATAGATATTGTAATTAGAGAAGTATAAATGTAATTGACGTGTACATTTTTCCAAACCCACAAAAAATTCATGCAAGTCAGGAAGGGCTACCATGGGTAGCCACAAAGCCAATGTACTGTGTAACTGTAAATGGTATCAGTCACATAAAATATTAGTTTCCTCCAAGCTGCATAACATGATATCATTACCCAAAAATAATCATAAGGACTTCAAGGATGTTTCTTGTCATTCCTGTATTCTTTAATTTTGGGGGGCTGCTACAGAAGGTTGAACCCAAAGCCTTCCCATTGACCTTTTCTGCTTCTTTCTTTGATTTTTTGAGATAGGGTATTCTTAGCTGGCTTGAACTCATCATGCAGCCCAGGCGGGCCTCAAACTTTTGTCAATCTTCCTGCCTCAGCTTCTGGAGTTCTGAAACTACAAACATGCTTTTCTTTCTTTCCTTTTTTTTGGTACTGGGGATTGAACTCATGACCTGATGCTTGCCAGATAGGGACTTATGCCACTGAGCTAAAACCTTGGCCCTGTTTTTATTTCTTATTTAGAGATGAGGGTCTCCCTAAGTCACAAATTTCTCAGGCTGAGCTTGAACTTGGGGTTCTCCTGTCTCAGTCTCCCAGCAAATGTGCCATCATGCTTGGCTTCAACTTCCTTTACAAAACCAGTACCCTATTGACTATATTCTCTAAATATAATAAAGTCATACAAATGACAAAAAAATAGACACATCTTAGAAAACTAAAAGGCAGACGAATCAATCATGGTTTAAAGGGGGAATCAAAACTGAAATAAAACAACTTAGAATTAAACAATGAAAGAATACTTATGAAAACTGTGAGAGTGAACTGTACGCTACTTAGAAATTTATAGATATTAATGCATTAAGTAAAAAAGGCAAAATAATTGAAATTAAGTAGGACAAGCTAGAAAAAGTACAACCAAGTAAGTCTAACTTATGTTGAAGGAAAAATAGTAAAAATAAAGGCAGTTTAATGGAAAGAAAAGATAAGTCACAGCTGAAAACGTTGCAAGCTTCTGTAATCTCAGCTACTCAGAAGACTGAGGAAGGCAGATTGCAGGTCCAAGTCTGGCTCGGCCAAATAAAAGTGCTGGGAGAGGGTGCAGCTCAGCATTAGAGCTTCCCTTGGTGCAGTCCCCAGTATCTCAGATGAAACAGAGGAAATGGCAAGCCACAAAATGGGAGAATATATTTGCAAAACATGTCTGATAAAGCCCTTGTATTCATAAAGCTCTTGAAACTCAACAATAGGAAAATAAATATCAAATAATCGGTAAAGGATCAAAATCACCCAAGTAGACCTACAGATGCCAAATAAGTGTATGAAAAGATACTCAATACGATATGTCAGTAGGGAACTGCAAATTAGAGGGAGATACCAAGACAGATCATTAGAATGGCTGAAATCCAAAGTGTTGACAGCACCAAATGCTTGTGAAGATCCAAGCAAAAAGAACCCTCCTTCACTGCTGGTAGGAATGCAAACTGCTAGAGCCACTTTGGAAGACTGTCTGGGAGTTTCCTATAAAACAAAACAAGTTCTTTTATTCTTTTTATCCTTGAAGTAAAATGGATTTGGAAAAAAAGGGGAAAAAAAAGTTATCACACAGCCTAGCAATTGTGTTTGTTGGTATTTTACACAAATGAGTTGAAAATTTACACAACCTCAGCAGGTGGTGCAAAACCCCCACAGCACTTCAACACCCAGTGAGATAGGGTAGTCTGCCTGGGCTGTGAATCTGGGGAGCACTGCCTCTCTTTGCACCTGTTGGCTTGGAAAGACTTGTTTGTTTATTGCAGCTTCAGTTTTTCATTAACTGTAAAATATATTTTAATCAGTGCTGCTAAAACAAGAAAATTTTCCGAAAAGCAATATAGAGATGGATTTCAGAGAAAAACAGAAATTTGATCTTATATTCCTTGAGCTAAAAATTAGACTTTTTTTCTTTCTCAGAGTGAGTGCAAATCTCTCATGTGTGTTTTTTGTTTTTTGGGAGGATGTTATTATGGTTTTTGGGAGGATGTTATTATGGTTTGAATGCTTTCCTCCACCAACAAATTACTGGTTAGTCAGTGATTGAGAGATATACACAAGAATTTATGACGCTATTTCATTAATTGGTATGCTATTTGCATAATAATTTTGTTCTGTTTTGTTTTGAGTTAGGGTTTCCTTATTTTGCTTAGGCTGGCTTTGAACTGCTGGACTCAAAAATCCTCTTGGTTCAGTCTCCCAAGTAGCTGAGATTACAGGTGCACACCATGGCACCTGGTTTATAATTTTTAATTGAAAAAAGCAGATTACAAAACATGTATGGTTATCTTCCACTTTTAAGGACATAGTATCATTGGAAACGTGGAAGCAAACTGGAATAGAAGCAGTGGCTGCTCAGGTGTTAGTATTTAAAGAGTTTTTAAAATCCTTGTTACTGGTAATCTACAACGTCCTCAATAATCATGTATTACCAGCGCACTGCGTTTCATAAGTAAGGAAACGACGTGAAGATCCCTTTCAGCTGGGCGGGTCTGCAGCCCGGCCACCTGCTAGGTGAGGGGTAGCAAGGCGCTGAGGCTGAGGACTGATCCCACAGAGGTCCAGCCCTGAGCGGCTTTGGCGCTGAGAGGTGGGCGGGGCGGTGCAAAGGGCACCGCCCCTGGAGTCACGTGTGCTCCCAACGCCAATGGCCTCTCAGAGCCCACCTTGAGCTCGGGGCGGGGCGCCGGGCTGGCGTCACCAGGACAACGGGCGTCGCCGGCGCCGTGTGACCCCAGGTGGTGTGCGCGCTGGCCGCTCTTCCGCCATGGTGAGTCTGGGGCCCGCGTGGCCGTGGCCGGGCAGCCTCGCCCTACCGGCCCGGGCAGGTCCTTGGGCAGCCGCCCACTGGGGTCCTGTGGACAGCGCCGGGCGAGGCCTGAGGGACGGCAGAGCAGGGCAGAGCAGGGCAGGGCAGCACAGGACAGGGCGGGGCGGGGCGTGCCCGGGAAGGGGTCCTGGGCGCCCGCCTGCTGGGACGGCCGTGACGCTGCGCCCGGTGCAGTGGTTAGTGCAGGTCGCCGCGTGGCCCCCAGCCCAGCGGGGCGTCGGACCGCGGGATGCTTTTCGGCCCTGGTGAACCAGGGCAGCAACCTAGAGAGGGTGTGATTTTAAAAAATGTGAATGTAATATATATTCCTGTTTACTCTAGGTGTGCCTAGTCCTGTTTAATGCAAGTGTAGATTTAAATACCCACATTACGTATTTCTTTCAAATGCATAATTCTGATAGGGTTTCTGTGTAGCATGTGGAATTTCTATTTGTAGTTTCGGACCCCCTCCCCCATTTCTTCTTTGGTGAAAACTGGGGACATTGAGCAGGAGGGTTTTTTCCTGAGTGCAGCACCCTCCCTAAGGGATTTAGTTCCTTCATGATTAGTGTGTTCAAAAAGTCTTAAGTCATTAACCTTTGTTCGATTAACTTGAGAGGTCATGCGCATACTACCTGACTCCAGGACGCTCATACTTTAGAAGCCTCACTTGAAGACTTCACTGAGGTGTTGGCTTAAATAGACAAACTTCAAGGTATTGCTAGAGATACGATTTTTCCAGAGACCTCTAAGGACCGCGAAAGAGGAGAGGAAACAATCCTAATATAAAATATTTGAGGAGATAATAGGGAAATGCCAACATTTGAGCGATGGATTGGCTTTTTGTTTTAAATAAGTCCCATGATGGAGATGAACTTATCTGCAGGGTTAAAGTACTGATGAGTTGAAAATGCAGAGTACTCCCAAAGTGCAGGTGATCTTTTGGAGAGAAGGAGGAAGTATTTGGAGCCCTGACTGGACCTGGGTTGGTCTGTTGATCTGTTGGTCTGTCTTCTTTCCTTTTTGGTTTTTTGGTATGGATGTCAAAACTAGGGCCTTTGCACTGAACTGCATCCCCAGAATTTTAAAATTTTAAGATAGGGTCTCCTTACATTGCCCAGGTTGAGCTCAGATTTGTGATCTTCATGCCTCACCCTTCAAAAATGCTGGGATTACAGATGTGCACTGTGATAGCTCAGACCCTGGAATAAAACCCAAGGAAGCAAGAAATTAAAATTTGGGGAGCAAAGGCTTTGTTTTAGGCCAGGCCTGGCGACACAGTCTCCAGGAGCCAATTTGGAGACTGCACACCTTACAGCTAGAAAGGTTGGGTTTTAAAGCCAAAAACCACAGGAATGTTGTAATCGCTGACACAGTTGGGTAGCATCTGGGCTTTATAGAACTTCCTGTAATTTCCTTGAAGTTAAGCATTTCTTAAAGAACAGCACATTTTATTACAGATAGCTGGGAGGGGTAAGGGAGGGGGTTACAGGAAACATACCTAAGGCTTTTACAGCTTTCTTAGGAAATTGAAACTTAACCTAGAAAGATAGGAAGGGAAGGGGATTTACAAGGAGCTGAAACTTAAGTCTTTACTGGAGGTGGAATTTTAATCTCTATTGAAACGGCGCATACAGAACAGGAAGGGGGCGCAAGGGTTAAAACTAGGCTATACTAACTCTGAAGAGGCAAAAAAAAAAAAAAAAAAAAAAAACTAGGCTATAACATGCACCGCCACATTTGACTGTCTTTTTTTTTTTTTTTTTGTAAAAAGCAGAAGCATGGTGGATGACTACCCCCCCATCCTTGACCCTAGAAAAACATCTCCAAGAGGATCACATGTTGATAACAGAAAAAACATAACCCACAAATAGCAGTAACACCACCTTTATTTTTCCTGTTTCCTTTTAACTCTGAGTTTTTTTAAAAAGTGATGATAGCACTGGCAAGCATTTGATAAAGTGCATATTGCAAAAATGCAAGTGCTGAAAGTATTGCAGTGGTTTATTCTTTTCCCTAATTTGATGGTCTCACTATGCTGCCCAGGCCTGGCTTCAAACTCATGAGCTCAATGATCTTTTTGCCTCAGTCTCCCCAATGATGAGATTACTCACATGTACCACCGTGGCTGACAGTGATTTGTTGCCCGGTGCCGCAGCCAGCGCGGGGAAGGAGTTAGGCGAGAGACTGAAGACACAGGGAGACCAGTTGCTCAGGAGGCAAAAGGTGATTTATTGATGGACCCCAGAGTTTTTATAATGTTTCAAAACAAAGAGCAGTACAAGTCACTTAGGACACTTTCTTGTGCATACAGCAAAGGTAAACATGTTGTTGGGCCCATGAGAAACTTCTTTTGTTTATGTTATGAAGCTATTCCCAGGTTAATATCAGCGCGATGCTTTGTCTAGAAGGCTGAGGTTACTGCAGGATGAGGAACTGGTTGAGGTCCAGCTTCAGTGTGTGGTTTTCCACACCTGTTCACTGCCAGACCCCTGGTTCCTGCTCCCAACAACTTGTTTTTATATTATATGCGAGAAAAATTCTTAAAATTAGAGCAAGGAAAAAAATCATATTTTCACAGCGCTCTGATATCTCATCTTCCTATTATCACATTTTCCTTTTTTTAAAATTTCACCTCTTCTGCCCTGACCCACAATCTGCTTGATTTCTTCTCACGAATTTTAGAGCTTTACATACCCCAAGAGCATTCTACTGTATTACTTATGCTCCAGCTCCTCCGCCCTTCCACATTCCCCTCCCCAAAGTCACTCTACCACTGAGCTATATCTTCAGACATTTTTTAAATTTTAAATTTTGAGACAGGGTGTTGGTAAGCTACCCATGCTAGGCGCCAACTTGGCTTTCTGCCTCAGCCTCCTGAATAGCTGGCTTACTGTACTTTTGTACTGATGGTTGCTTTACTGAATTTAGAAATGCTTTGCTTTTTTTTTTTTTTTTTTGGTCTTTTTCATTTTTATTGGTACTGGGGATCGAACTCACGACCACCTGCTTGCAAGGCAGGTACTTATGTCGCTGAGCTAAATCCCCAGCCCTGAAATGCTTTGCTTTTAAAAATATTTTTAAGGACAGGAATTTAATTCATAGAAGGGGTTAAATTGATTTAGTGACATATAGGCTTTAGCTAGGGTGAGAAATAATTGATGCTGGAGAGAGCAATGAAAAGGCTGTGTGTTTAATACTTGAAATTGTATTCTAGATTATATTGTACTTCATTAAATGCATAAATTAAACATACACGTTCAACAGTTGATATTGATAGAGGGGGATGAAACTCCCAACCTACTAGATGTCCATTATGAGTTCATGTTTTCTAAAATTCAAGAATGAATTTTAGGAACAATGGAGGTTAAGAGCAAAATATATTTATTGAGAGAAAGAAAGCTGTCAGAGAGACAAAATAGGTCCTGAGTGAGTTGCCAAAGACTGCCTTTTCTAGGTACTTCTATAGAGTAAAACCATGAGGTGAGATAGGTCCAAATGGGGAAAACTGGGAACTTGCAAGACTGATGGGCATGAGGTGGTACAGAACTATGGTCAGCTAGTAAGGTTAATTGTTCAGGTAAAATTGACCTGAAGCAGTGGGTCAATTTATCCCTTTGTTCAGGGACAAAGAGGGAAGCAAGTCCCGTAGCAAGTGGGCATTCTTATGGAGCAGTGACTTTTCTTGTAGGGAGTTGCTCAAGGTGATCCATACATATTCAGAGTATCAATCCCTGATGTTTATGCTTGGAATGTGCTTGCATTTGTTTTGCCTTTTGTATTGAGATCTGGCCCACAGTGGAGATGTCCATCTTCTCCGAGGTCACAAGGTATATGGTCTGTGCCAGCTCCCTCGAGGACCCAGCCCTGTCTGATTGCCTTAGTATTTCTATCTAACTCAGCTGCCTATAACAATATGAATGACTTAGCACATTAATTTTAGAATTTTGTTAATGAAAATGTCTTCATTATTTATACTTCCTCTATAATAATGACAGTTACTAATTGTTGTGTATATTTTATGTATGAGGCATTTTCCTAAGTGTCTTTTTAAGAGGTGGCTGGATCCCGTGTGATGCTGGGATTAAGGACGTGTGATTGCCATGACCCTTAGGCAATCTCATCTTGGTACACCAAGCAGAAAAACTGCTTAGAGCAATTATGTCACTTTGGCTAATATGGTGCAATCAACAATAACAATAGCATCAAACATAGCCTAGAAAGCGACAAACTAAGATAACTATTAATTTGCCACTTTTAATCTTAATGTATGAACTAGATTAGTGGTTATATAATAAAATCTAAAACAAACTAGAAAATTGTATGCAATAAATAGGCCCTCGGTATGACAATTTCACCCTCAGGAGAGAAAGTTTAAAAGGGTTTGGGGGCATATAGAGAAATAGAAGAAGAGGAAGAGATTAGAAGTAATGCTGGAGGACAAAGGATCATGCAAACTTTGGGGAAATGGTGAAGAAGACAGGAAGGAAAGAGAGAAGAAAGAAATAAAAACAACAGCAACAAAACTAGAAACCACGTTCACATTCATATAAAAATAAGAACAAATAAAAAGAAAAAAAAGAGAAAAAAATTTTAAAGATGTCCACTTCAATGTGTGTCTCCTGTCACTGGTAGACAGTATGGGCAGATCCATGTTGATTAATCCCAGCAAGCCAGTGGTAGTTTTGTGGTGGGGTGGTGGGTAATCCCAGTGAGCCTGCACCTTTATTTTCTCTGAAGGGCAGACTGGTTTCTGACCATCAGGCTGGAACTACACCTGTTTAGCCTTAGCAGTCTGGGTGCCTCCAACTGGTTTGAACTCGGCTTCCTGTGGGGTGGAACTCAGCCCCTGATCTCTTGCCAACGTGAACTCAGCTTCCTGACCCTGACACTGGGAGCCCCTGGATGGAGCCAGCAGTTGCTCTGAGTTTTGAGCTCAATTGGTGCCTCTCAATGGCTCCTAGCCAATTGTCATTTCCTGCGGGGCATCTGAGTCCCAATAACTCACCAGCCACTACAGTCTGCTGCATCTGCTGTTCCATTCCATTAGAGCCTTTCTCCATGGAGGCCTGTGGGAATGCCAGCTGTTACCATAAGTAGGTAGATTTGAGCTGCCCTTCCTGTGCAGTAAGTTCAGGCTCAGGGAGGAAGTGCTGCCTGCCACCTCTTTCTTCTTCACTGAAGTTTCTGTTTTGCTGTCCCTGTGGGCTCCAGTTCTTGCTTTAGATCCCTCCTGGGTCCTGGGAACCCACTTCCTCCTCCTCTTCCTCATGTTTCTATATACCAGTGTCTGGACACCAAATGTTAGAGAGGTTCTTTTCTGCTGCTCACCACTCTACCATATATCCTGTGTGTTTGGCTATGTGATTAGTAAATGAGTTAGTTCACTGATTTGGCACTACCCTGAACCTAGTGGCCTATATAGGGAATGAGGAAAAGCTGCTAAGGCCTCTTGCTTTGCTACGTTCTGCCCATCATACACTGTTTTGTGATGCTTGTATGATATGTCACCCTGCCTTGGAGCCAACCGATTATAAACTAAAACCTCTGCAGACTGTGAGTCAGTATGAACCATTCCTCCTGTAATTTTGAGTGTTAGTCTGTCTCAACAACAACAAAAAAATAAGAGTGTCTTAGACTGTCATAGCCCTGTGAGGAAGATGTCATCTCTGTGTTTTAGGATGAGGAAACTCCAAGGCATAGAAGGATAAAGTAACTTGCCCGGGTCATTCAGCTGGTAACTATGAGCCTGTCTGGAGGTTCTAGCAGGGGAGCACAGCTGCTCGTAAACCCTCTTCCACTGGGGACTTTGAGCATGCAACTTTAGGAGGGACACACAAGGAGCAATGAGGAATGAAGGGGACATCTGCCTAGCCAGCATGGTCAGCAGAATCAGCCCTAGCCATCCTTCAATGGAGCAATAGGTGTGACAGCCAGATCACCCTCACATCCTTAGCTGACAACTGAGCCAGATTTTAAAAGCAAGCAGTTTATTTAAGAATCTGCTTGAATGATTATTGGATTGTGTCTATACACTATTGTGTATAGTAATCATTGTATTTTCTTCAACATAAATGCCAAGTATATGTTAGGAAGTTAGTTTTCCTATTTGGGCTTCAAAAGCTTTGAGCAGTTATAAATGATTTTTACTTTATTTCCAGCATTGGATTTGGTGGTGAACAAAGCAGGCATGGATAGACATCTCCAGTTTCATCCCTCTTTCACTTAGTGGAAATAAAAAGAAATTAATGAAGACATGCTTAGAGCAGGGCTCATCATATGAATGTTATAGCTTTGAGAGGTTCTTCTGTGACTCCAGTTCATGTTCAGTAATTGGCATCTGCTTTTTTTTGTCAATCACAAAACCAGTGTTTCATGTAAAGTTTTTTAGATGTGGAAGGGGAAAGTTTTTTAAAAATGATTTTCTGTAATTTTAGATTTTTATATTGTAATTGTTAAAATTCATTCAAATAATTCTTTGAATTTTACTTCATTTGGAATAAAATATATGTTGGAAAGTTTATTCCTTGTTCAGTAAATTTTTGTTATTTAGTATTTTAGGTTTTAGATTTATTTTTAGAAATGTTCATTTTAAAGCCAGGCGTGATATTGCATATCTGTAATGCCATCACTTGGGAGGCTGAGGCAAGAGAAACATTTCAAGTTCAAGACCAGCCTGGGTTATAAAGTGAGCTCAAGACCAGCCTAAACCGCATAGCGAGACCCTGTCTCAAAAAACAAATAAACAAACTGAACAAAACTGAGCAAAACAAAACTGAGCTGAATGTGGATAAAAGCACACGTACCAAAACTGAAGGGATTCTATTAAAGCAGTGTTCAGTAGGGAAACTTACAGTTGTAAATATTTACATTAAAGAAGAAGAAAGATAAACCAATAACTCCTTAGGGAACTAGAAAAAGATTGGGATTAATAGCTCAGTGCGAAGGCCTTGTGTTTCAATGCTCAGAGGTACAAAAAAGCTCCAATGCATTTTGAGTGTTTTGTAGTTGTTAAGGAAGTGTTGCAAGTTGATTGTATGTGGTTATCCAGTTGTGGCATGATTTCTTCCTTTCTCTTTTCTCCCCTTCCTCCTCCTTCCCCTCTGTGTGTGTGTGTATTACTGGGAGTTGAACTCACAAAGTGCTGAGTTACATTTTCAGCTCTACAGGGTCTTGCAGAGTTGCCCAGTCTGGCCTTGAACTTGTGACCCTCCTGTGTCAGCCTCCTAAGTAGCTGGGATTATAGGTGTGCACTATTGCCCATCATTCTGGCACCGCTAAAAAAAAAAAAAAGACTTCTTTCACCATTTAAATCAATTGCCCACAAATGTAAGTTTGTTTCTAGACACCCTGTTCTATTCATGTATGGTATTTATCCTTATGCCAGTATCAGTGTTTCATAGTTTTGTGGTAAAGTTTTGTTTCATTTCAGATGAGGTCTTAACCGTGTAGCCCTGGTTGGTTTTGGTCTCCTGGGATCAAGCATTCCTCATATCTCAGCCTGTCAAGTAGCTGAGACTATAGGCACATACCACAATACCTTTTCTTATAGTAAAATTTGAAGTCAGAAAGTTTGAGTCCTCTAGCTTTTTTTTTTTTTCTCAGTAAAGTTTTGTTCTGGATCTTTTGCATTTCACCATGAATTTTAGGGTCAATTTGTAGATTTGTGTAAAAATTAAGGCAGCTGGAATTTTTGACAGGGATTATATTAAATCTGTGAGTAAGTTTGTGGAAGTGTTGTTAACATAATACTATTAAGTCTTTCTGTTCACAACTGTGTTTTTCTTTCAATTTATTTGTCTTTCATTTCTCTCAATAATTTTTGCATAACTTTCCAATGTGGAAGTTTTGCACTTTTGTCAGTTTTTTCCTAAGTACAGTATTCATTTCAGTGATATTATAAGTGGAATTATTTTCTTAAATTTATTGTTAGAATGTTCATTACTTTCATACAGAAATATGTCTTTCAAATGAATATATTTGATGTTGTATTGTACAGCTTTGCTGCACTTGATTGGTTCTAATTGAATTTTTGTGGAGTTTTAAAATTGCCTGTGTTGTATACAGGACAAGATCATGTCACCTGTAAATAGTGGTGGCTTTAGTCCTTTCTAACCTGGGTGCCTTTCATTTCTTTTTCTTGTCTAATTGCCTTGTCTGGAACCTCCACTGTGGTATAGTACACAAAGCGGGGCTGTGTGTTGCCTTTTTTAAATGCAAGGATGGTATGGTATAAAATATTTTCTGTCCTTCAACATTAGAATGTGGTGGTCTCGTGAAATCATATATCTGTGAGACAATGATTGAGGTTGTTCTAATCTAGTATGAAAAATAGTAATTTTTTTTGAATCGATTAAAGAACAGTTACAAAATTTTGTTCTTTTTTTCTTTTAGGTTTTCTCAAACAGTGATGAAGGCCTAATTAACAAAAAATTACCCAAAGAACTTTTATTAAGGTAAGTGTTGAGAAATTTTAGGTAGAGTTCAGGTTTGATCAGTCCTGAAGTTCCAAGACTGTCTTTCTCACTGTGAGTCCACAGCGTAGAAAAAGAGACAGAATTAGCCTAACTGACTTTTTGTTTTTGTTTTATAGAATGCTGTTCAGCTTGTTGTTAAATTTTACTTGGTCTAATCCAGAGTGTACTAAGTATGTACGTAGCATTGGTTTGGATTCTTTTTGTAATGTGGTAAGTATTATAATAATCTTCAGTAGGTGTCATTGTTTGGGTATAAGTAGATAATCAGACTGTAAATAATATGAGGAAGGATTATTGCTAAACTTAAAAACTTCTGCAGTCAGTTTTAGATGTTTCCTGATGAATGAATTTAAAAATAAGTACAAAAAATACAACTGTGATAATTCTTAGCACTTAAAATGCTTTTGGCCCCAAATACTGATGTTGGTGTGTTTTTTTCCATTTTATGAGAAGTATGTGCTAAATATGGCATGTTATTTAAAATAGGGTTTTTGGGGTTTTTTTTCCCGACATTACAAAATATATAGAAATGGTATTTCAGTTGTCATTTTACCAAGTAAAGCTATCAGCCAACATTTGTTGATCCTGAGACACTCCACAAATGTGAGTTCAACCAAGTCTCCATTTCATGGACCTTAAATCTTGATTTATTTATTCTGCAATGATCCAAGATTTAGGGGTCGATGTTATTGTGTTTTAATGCTTTACAAATAATTTATGTATACATGGTGCTCTTTGAGTGACATTTCCCAAACTGTTTTTTCTATCATTAATATTCCACAAACAAACCAAGCAGGTTATGTGATCAAATAAGTATAGGAAATGAACTTCAAGACTGTAGGACAGCCGGGGGTTTAGCTCAGTGGCACAGGTGCCTGCCTGGCAAGTGCAAGATCGTGAGTTCAATCCCTGGTACAAAAACAAACAAGAAACAAAAAACTGTAGGACAAAATTAATTTTTTACTGCAGGACTCTTTAGAACCTTAAATTACTAAATGTGCATGGCACATTTGAGTAGTTGTTGTATTTCAGACTTCCTGACAGTAGGACCCTTTCAGTATTTCATGGAAAAGTTTTAGGAAATACAGTACTAAAATACAGTAAGAAATGGAGCAGATAACTCCACTCTCTAGCTGTACTAAATCTTATTTCAACATTTTGGTAATGAATATGAGTTTTGGTTTAATAATTGAAAGTAATTCTTTTTATCTCTTCTCGGCTCACCACAGAGTCACTCTGGAAATGACATAGATTATTCATCTTTGTTGTCATTAGTATGTTAGATTTTTTTTTTTTCAGAAACATGAGAATTTAACATCTCTGGTAGTGATCACCTGATAGTGGCTTCAGAGTGTGTTTCATTAGTCATCAGGAATTTTTGATACTATTGTCAGGAATTTGTTGTACTCAGTCAATTAAAAAGAAAATAGGGGCCGGGGATTTAGCTCAGCGGCGTAAGCTCCTGCCTTGCAAGCAGGCAGTCATGAGTTCGATCCCTGGTACTGATAAAAAAAGAAAAAGACAAAAAAAAAAAAGAAAGAAAATAAACAATTGTATTAAAAAATATATCATACTTTTTCTAATAAAACAAATATTTCAACAAGAATATTCTTTAGCCTTTTACACAATTTTGAATTAAGAAAGTGGAGACAGCCATGCATGATGGCACATGCCTATAATTCTAGCACTTGGGAAGCTCAGCTAGAAAGATTGTGAGTTCAGGACAGCATGGGCAGCATAATGAGTTTGGGGGTAGCCTGAACTATGTAGAAAAACCATATCAAAAAAAAAAAAAGAGAGAGAGAGAGAAAATGGTACCAAAGAATATATGTTTCTCATATGCTACAAAGCACTGCTCAAATATGTAAGGTGTTATGTTTGTTGGAGCCAATCTGGCTGAGTCTGGATTGGCAAATTGTTACCGTGCAACTTTAGGGAACATAATCTGCACTGCTATACAGTGCTATACAGGGATTATCCCCTAGAATAAGCAGCCTCAGTGTGAGTGTTTCTCTAGCAACCAGCAGGAGGTTGAAGTGTGACTGTGGCATTCTTAATATGGAGAATCATTACCACCTTTAGGAAGACAATGTATTAGTCATTCAACACTAGTTTACAATTAAACTCCACCTTTGTGGTGAATACTGCTATTTGTGACTCAAGGTCCTAACTTAATATCCTGGACAATAGGGTTGGCTTTTATAAATTGGCCATAGAACACAATTTTTTTTTTTTTTGCAAGTTGAACTTTATTTTTTTTTTTTTTATTTTAAAGAGGGTAAGATTAAACATAGCAAAGCAGATCATAAGGAAACAATTTCAAGAAACATGGATTTCAAAGCAAATCCACTGGAGATCTTCACTGTCTATTGTATTGTCTCTAGTTTTCTTTCAAATAGTTGACCCCATCTTCACACACACTGAATACATACTGAACATTATAGAACGAATCTAATCATAACAGGATGATGAAGGCTTTTTAGGTCTTCAAGAACTGACATTGGGGAAGTCAATAGTGACTGCCATAATGTGTCTCATTCTCTTCGTACTAGCTGTCCTTATCTTTACGTATGCTGAAATTTAATATAAGGAACTAGACTAATATGACTCTGAGCAGTGAATAATCGTATTACTAGATTTTATATCATAATGCTACAGAATTAGCACTGAATATCTTATTGTCTCCTCTTCTTCAGAGTATCTCTTCATTATATCGTGCATTATATAATCTGTTCCCATAAACTGTTTAGAAACTCTCCCCATGTGTGAATCTCTACATGTATATCTATCCTTCCTGTATTATAGGGAAAAACAGATCATAACAAGACAACAAAACAAATTGCAGGAAAAACATGAAATGAAAAAGACATAAAACCACAATATTAGGTGATCTACAGTACTTACTATGCTTTCTCTTGTTGTTTTCAATAGAATTGTCCACATTCTCAGACAAAATATAATTGAACATAGCATTACATAGCTATTATAATAAAAACACAACTTTGGAGACATTGTAGGACTTCAAAAGCAGTTAATAATCAAACCGGGATGGGTATCTTATTACATCTTGTCATCTTCAGAGTAGTTGCCTCTACTCTTAGACTTGATATTATCAAGCATACCAAATTCGAATAAAATCAGTCAAGGTAAAACAGCGGTCTTTAAAAAAAAAAAAACAAAAAAACCCAGCAGTCTAACAAACCAGCTTCAAATAAGATCAGTCATAGTAAGACAATGTAAGTAATACAGGGCTTCAGTTTAAGTTAATAGAAAAGTAAGGATAGTTACCATGGTATAGCCTGCTATTTTTGGGATAGCTGTCTGTGCCCTCACATCTAGTCTGAGTAGACACATTGGAAGAAAATATCAAACTAAACAGAGCGATACTGATACATTTTTAAGAATGCCCTCTGCCTTCCTTTTTTTAGGCAGTTCCTCACCTTTCCCTTTCTAAGGATGCTTTGTATATTTTGGGTCCCACTAGCTCCGTTAATTTTTAGATTAGGGGGTCAGTCCATTATCTATCTGAGTGGTGCTGAACCTTTTTACCTGAGCTTGATCTTGAGCTGTATTCCTTTGCTTACTAAAGCCACGAGGTTTTCCTTCCTTCTAGCTGTGTAGTTCTACACTGCACAAAAGTGTCATAACTTTGCAACCTATCTGCGGCTGCTGGACAAGTTGTCCCTATTTCTCTCTGGTTCCCTGTCACATACAGCATTGTTTTCTCATCTTTGACTTTCAATTTATTAACTCTCTTTCAGGTTGAGTATATTTCCTATTCAGAGCATCTCGATGGATCCTGCCTCCTAATCTACTCTGCCTGTGTTTCTTTTTGTTAGTGTGTCAAGGCTATATTAAAGATTATAGCCTACCTTCTCTGCCTCATCCCTGCTGTTCTATTTTTCTGCTATTATTTGTCCACTTTTCTCCTTCATTCTCTGTCTGCCCCATTCATTGAGGCCTCCCTGCCACTGTTGCTGGAATCCTGGTATTTTTCCTCTCTCTCTCTCTCTCTCTCTCTCTCTCTCTCTCTCTCTCTCTCTCTCTCGAATGTCCTTCAGTATTTTTTGTAGTGTTGGATTGGTGGCCATGAACTCCTTGTCTTGGAAACATCTTTGAAGCTGGTTTGTATGACTGATCTTATTTGAAGCTGGTTTGTTAGACTGTTTCTCCATTAATTTTGAGAGAGAGTTTTTCAGGGTACATCAATATGGGTTGGAGCTTATTTTCTTTCAGGGCTTGGACTATTTCCCCCCAGGCTCTTCTCGATTTGATAGTTTGTGTTGATAAGTCTATCTTTATTTTGATGATTTTTCCTTTTTGGTGATCTGCTTTTTTTCTCTGGCAGCTTTTTATATTCTGTTCTTGTGGTGGATTTCTGGGATCTTGATTATTATATGTCTGGGTGTAGATCTGTTTTAGTTGTATTTGTTTGGAGTTCTGTATGCCTCATTTATCTGGATATTGTTTCTTATTCCTATGCTTGGGAAGTTTTCCTTAATTATTTCTGCGATTAGCCTTTGTAATTCATTTGTGATTACTCCTGCTTCTTCATTATGTTTTTTATTCTTTTTTTTAATCGGTACTGGTGATTGAATTCACGACTGCCTGCTTGCAAGGCAGGTGCTTATGTCGCTGAGTTAAATCCCCAGCCCCTATGTTTTTTACTCTTTTTTTTTTTATTCTTTTTTTTGTCTTGCTCGTTTTTTTTTTAATTGGTACCAGGGATCGAACTCACAACTGCCTGCTTGCAAGGCAGGCGCTTATGCTGCTGAGCTAAATCTCCAGCCCCCATTTTTTTTAAGTTATAGAGCCTCTTGTCATCTTCTAGCGTTTACTTCCTGGTTCCTTATTATTTTTAAGAGGTCTTTTCTTTCATGATCACACATTGTAAATCTCTCTTCAAGTTTCAAGAGGCTAACTTTAGTTTCTGGCAAGGCATTTTGCCAGCTTTCAATGGTGCTTTTACTTTACTGGTAATCTCTTTGGTTCTGTTTCATGTATTCTAGATTTTGTTTATATTCTTCACCAAAGGTTTCTCTTACTTTTCTGGGTTCCTCCATTCTTCCATCTATGTCTTCTTGAGAGAGGGTTAGCATTTCTTTTATTAATCTTTTTATATCTTGCCTCACTTGGATTAGAATTTCAGTTTTAAGTTTATCTCTGAGGTCACGAAAGTATTTCTTTATGTCTGCTGATGTTGTAACCAA